ATATTGACTTTAACACTTCAAGTTGATCATTTAAGTCCCTTTTTTTCCAAATACACCCAAACTTCACATAACATTTTTCAACTTTCCATTTTAACTACTAATTATGGATTCTTTTATAATTCATCTCAACTTTTCCATTTTATTCTGAATAGTACTTTGCCCTTTTACTTCAATTCAAGTCTCAAACAACTTAATTAAATTTCCAGCAACTAATTTCCAGAGAAAAACCTCAAAAAATTCATTATTACCACTTAAGCCACTAACGTTTTCAATAGTTTTCATTAATTACTCAAACTTTGGCAACTTTCCAAAATAGTCAAATTTTACATTCTAACACCAAATTCATCACTCTAACATTAATTTTCAGCATAGTACTTCATGTATTGAATAATTACACATCAACCCTATAATTTTTTTCAAAATTACTGAATAGGTCCCCTAACTTTCTCAAAATTACAAAATGGTCCAAATAACTTTCTAAAGCTTGTAGGATCCTTCTTACATCATTTCTAACCCTTGAATAATTTTTTCATAATTTTTATCACTTCCAAAAGCTTAGGTCGAATGTTAAGGGGGTAGGTTTCATGATTTTACTTGATTTCAATTTGATTTGAGCATGAAATCAACCTCTATTCAATATTTTAAAAACTCTACAATCAAACCCCTAACTCAATTTCATCAAATCACAAACTTTCCCTAATTTAGGGTTTAGGCCAAAAATCAATATAGCATTTCTAGGTGGTTTTAATCATCAAACAAGCTTGGAAATGATTCTACAGCCTCAACAACCTCAAAATTCATCATCAATTCATAAAATCCTAACATGAACATAAACCCTAACATGAACATAAACTCTAACATGAACATAAACCCTAAAATTTGGTAACTCAACATTCAAGCAAGATTAGCATGCAATAATGGTACCAAATCATAGAGCTCTTCGAATAAAATAATTTTTTATTTCACGATTCGATCTAAAATCCAAAGGAAATTGCTCAAAAATGAAAAATAAAATTTCTCTTATCTAGGTTATGAGGAGCAAGAAATGGAGGTTGAAGAATGTCTTATTTTCTTGAAAATTCTAATTAATTTCATGTGAATTTGTCATTTATTAAGCTTAAATGAATTTAAATTTCATTTAATTGAGAAATGACAATTTCACCCTTAATGAAACTTGATAATTACATTCATACCTTAACACATGTTACTTAGCATCTTCCAAAATCAAAGATAACAAATTATTTCACCCTTTACAACTTTACCCATGAACTTTTCCAAAAATCCCAATATTGCCATTTTTCATCCAAATGCCCAAATTGAACATGTAAATAAATTCTCAAATCTAATGTTTTATATTATTTTCCATCATTTTAAAATGTGAAAATAATATTTCTAAGCTTAATTTTATTTCTCAAAATTTCTATTCGATCCAATTTACCGAATTTTTATCGGACTTAACACTTTATAGCTTTTAACATAAATTTCGGATCAAAAATCTGACTCCCACCAAAACGACATTCTTGGGGTTAAACTATTTATTTATGGGATCAAAACACCTAACTTTTAAAAATTATACTTTTGGTCCCCAAATATTTGGAAAATTACCCTTTTGGTCCCTAAATATTTCCAAACTTTATACTTTGACCACTAAACTTTCAAATTTTACATTTTGGTCACTAACAAAATTTGGGGTATTACATTGTATGTGCATGAATGCACTAGAAACTTGAAGCCGTCTCTTCTTTGAGTGTGCATACTTAAATAGCATTGAGGAATTCAATCTTAGAATGTGTAACTTGAAAATGAATGTACAGGACTATAAGGAAAGGCTTGCGTGGGTTGTTGGGGGTAAGTCTTTGATTACATTCATTCTTAAGATTGCTTGAAAATGCACATATCTACAACATTTGGAAGGAAATGAGCTGTAAATAGTTCAAGGAATAATCAAGATATGCAAAGGAAATTTCGAACTCTATTAAAGATATTGTTAGAGTTAAACTTAAGAATATATAGATAGATAGATTTGATTATGTAAATATCACAACTATTTAATCTATTGTAACAGTTCTATGCTATTTCTAGATATAAGATTTATTTTTAAAAATAGAAAAAAGTATACAATCTAATTTATTTAATATTTAAATTTATAAAAACTTAACTAGTCATTTGGTAAAAAAAATTTGAGGTCATAACTCCTTCCATACTTCATTCACTTTCATCGCCCTTAAAAACTTATAAAAATATTTACGATTCGAATCTTAAATTCTTAAAAATTCATCTCTTATTTTTCCTTACCTTTTGAGAATTGCGAGTTTCATCTCAGTCTCAACTTTTTACATATAACATGAAAACGTAAACGCATATAACTACCAATTACAGAGAAAATGTCAGAAAAATGGGGCATTCTTGGATCCATATAGGAGGAAGAGATGAAATATTGCACCAACCAAGTTTAAATGGCATGGTTAATTTTACACAAACAAAATATTAAAATATGTTATGGTTGGTTGGTCGGATTAGATTTTTAGTGAGGAAAAAGGGTCCGGCGCAATCAAATCGATTGGGACAATATTCCTTAACAATTTGTCCAATTTTGGAGGGTGGGATGTATTGTTGCTGAAATTGGATCATTCAAAATTTGTCCCCAAAGGCCGTTTCTAGATAAGAATGTTTGATTTGATTTGATTTGATTTGATTTCATCAAAAGGATTCTAAGCGTCAAGTTTCACATTATAAAACAACAAAAATATTCTTTCAAATTTTGGGAGGAAAAAAATATATCGGTGAATACTCGAATATATGAAATTTTCTTATGCTATGCATAATTTTTATATATTTTATTATATAAAAATAGTAAATATAAAATTTATTTTAAAAACTTAGATTAATAATAAATCGGTGGTCCCAAGATTGTATATTCCTTTGAGTGAAATATCGGCCATCATATTGAATTTGGAAGAAATGTGCTTATGTTTTATATTAATTTCTGATATTTTATTTGTTAATTAATTAATTAATTTAAATTAAATATTATAAAGTTTATTATAAAAATAATTTTTAATCTAATTTTAAAATTAACTACGACCTAGTCCCATTACTACATAGTATTCATTTTCGTTTATGTTCGTAATTTGAGCAAGAAAGAGGCTCCTTTAAAAGTGAACATTGATGGAAGCAAATTAAGTTAGGCTTTGAATATGGTTTGGTTTGACTTAAAAATATTTATTTATTATGAGACTAGAAACTTAATTATTCATATAATGACTATTATAAATTAGTTTGATTTCATTTCTTATTTTAACCTGAAAATTTTCAGATAAATGAGCAGAAAAATGCAAATAAGACTTGGAGAGGGGACTACAGCCAATATATGATTTTATGATCATGGACTTAGGCCCAAACGATGAAACATGTCACTGATTTCAAAAAAACATTTAAGGTTAATTATACACATAATTACTTATGTTTGTGTTTTGTCCACTTTTAGTTAATGTTTCAAAAATAAGATATAGTCACTTTTATTTTTATTTTATTAAGATATGATCACTTTCGTTTTTATTTAATTAAAATATGATCACCTTCGTTTTTTATTTAATTAAGATGTGATCATCACGAATTAACTATTGTTAGCAATTAACATAATATTTAATGTTATAGTTGGTATAATCACATTTGGTCTCTGCTATTTATATATTCTCTTAATTCAGTCATATTCCGAGTCGGCTCTAACGGAGCACCCTGAGCAACCGCTCAAGGTCCCCTATTTTTTGTATTTATAGTTAGGGCCTCCAATTTTTTATATTTATAATTAGAGCTCTTTAACTTTTATAATTTCATAAAATTTTTAGTTTTTGACCTTTTTCATTGTTAATTTATACAATTTTGAATTAAATCTAATTATTTTTTCTCCTTTTTAAATCTTACTCTTCAATTTATCAAATATTCTTTAATTTTTAGTCTCCTTCAATCTCAATCTAACAATAAAATGATATACAATTCTTTTTATTTATTTATTATTCAAAATCAAGCTATGTATAATACAAACATTCAATTTTTTTATTCTCTCTTAATTGTATTTAAGGCATGTTCTTAATAAAATAATGTGTTTTCACAAAATCTAGTCATTTTCTATGATTTATTTATGTAATATTGAATTAATTATTCAAAGTAATAAATATACTTTCATTTTATAAAGGCGTATTTTTTTCGTTTTTACTTAGGGCCCCGAAAATTCTGATACAATTATGGTCATACTTTTAAATAAATTTTAACATAAAATATATATTTTTAAATGAAAACAAAATAAAATATTTTTAAATTAAGTTAATAATATAATATATTTAATAAGTTAATATAAAAATATTTTTAAGTTAATATATAAAGAATATTATGAATTTAAATATTTATACATTAAGATACAAAATATATACATTATGTTATCTACTTTATACCAAACAATGATCTTGGTATGACACGTGCAATGACATGTGATATCATTCGTTTGGAGGATTAAATTTATTTTAATTTATTAAAAGTAATACTAAATTAAGAGAATATGTAAATAACGTGGACCAAATATGTGATTATATCAAAATATTTAACTATTAACAACAGTTAACTCTGGGTTACCACATCTTAATTAAATAAAAACGAAAACGATCATATCTTATGTTTTTTTTAAATCATTGACCAAAAGTAGATAAAACATAAATATAAATGATCATCCGTGTAGTTAACCCACTATTTTTATCATATAGCTTTACTAAAAGTCTATATAATTCCTTGTATTTAATTTATTGATCAATTAATATAGACTGAATATTGCAAAATTTTTATTATGAGGTTGATTCACTCAACTCAATGTGTCATTTACAACCCTCATGATTTGATTGTGAATGGGACTGAAAAGAAAACATTTTATACAGAGAAAATAAAAAATAAATGGAGAAATATTGGAAGGCTAAATCTAATATTGTGAATATATCAGATGAATGATATTTTCATTCCATGGCAAACTGACATAGTAGGAAAGAAACTTCAAATGTTAATCTACATACATACAAACATACTGGGGTTTTCTTGGTCAAACATGCAGGAAAATCTTGGAAGTTCTAGGAAATGGCAATTTGGGGACGACAACAGCAGTATAAATAAGCTTTCGAGTGTTAACAGGAATCTCCATCTTCTAAATCCACTAAATACTTAAATGCTGCGTCTCTTGTGTACTAAAAATAGAGAGAAAAATAGCTAACATATTTAGCAAGTGCATCTACTTGCATTTGAACCGGAACTTATTAGCTAATCAAGGGGTGCCTCACTGTTTGTCATGTTAATGCTCTTTTGCTAGCAGTTTCTAATTTGACAACTTAATGAAAGAAAATTGCAAAAAGAAACCATTACCGTGAGCATAAGTTTACCTAGCATTGCAAGCCTGCTTGAAGAACCCGTAGAGAAAGCCGAGGCATTAGAAAGCAGGGCAGGTGAAGCAGCCACTAAATGAACCCATCTGTCGGGTTCTACAGAACGATGTAGCCTTATGTGAGGTCCTTGTAACTTCATGGATCTGGTTGGATAACACTGAACTTCTCATTTCTTGGGCTCTCTTATGAGCTGATCTCAGCTTATTCATTATCTTATTCATTGATGATGATCTCTTCTTTTCCAGCTTCATCTGAAATACATTCTTGTGTTAGAAGAAATGATGCAGATGATAAGTAGCTTTATTAGTTCTTTTAGTAATTTTAACTTTGAAAAGTAAGTTCAGTTCAAAATAAATAGAACCGAAAACTAGTGTCTAGAGAAAGAGCATCCTTTTCAGTTACTTCAATTGTAAAAGGAGAAGTATTGTAGAAGACAGCAACCTCTAGTTTCCTTATGGCTGCCTCAGCTTTTGCCATCTGCAGATTCTCCCATGCAGTGATTTTGGCTTCTTCTCTTTTGATTCTGCGAAAGTGAAAGCAACAAGTCAAAATAAGAATATCTGTCAAATATGTTCTGTAAAGATCAATTTCTTTAAATTTTCTCTGATATTATTAGTTTTTGGAACCTAAAAATAAACATGAACATTCTGATAATAAGCCTTTCATCTAACTTGGCGATTCACTTGATTAAAGAAATAAGTTGGATGCGGTTTCTTAGGTAGATCTATGAGATGACAAAAGGCATATCACACACAATCTAGCATCTGAAAACTGACATGAGACTTACTTTTTTGCTAAATCAAGCATTATATTACAATCTTTTAAAGCTGGTCTTCAAGGAAGAATGTGACGGGTTTAAACAGAGAACAAAAATGCATGAAAAGATTATAGATTACAGAAACAGGGACAGGCAAAAGAAATAGAGGCGTGGCGATGTAGTAGCAAGGTAACCATTCTTGGAAATGCACCTTGCTGTCTCCGTCACATCCCAGGTTGGTGTCCGCGTGTCAGCAGCTCTTTTCCTCCAGTCATCAACAATTGCTGAGTTCATTCCGGTGTTTCCAGCTCCATGCTTCTTTGAACATCTAGTCATGGTCACTCTTTCATCTATCTGCACATCTCTCACTTGTGATTTAGAGGAATGAGTGCCTTGCAGTTCCATGATAGGTAAGGCAGAAGGGGTGGAGAGAGTGAAAGAAGCCGATCGTCCGGGTGATGAGCAAGTGCTACCATGTGGGCTCATTTGGGTTGCCATGTCTTTTCTTGAAACCGTAGGAGAAGTGTCAATGGCTGCATCCTCGACGGCGTAAAGATTTTCATCCGCATCTTTGATGAAAAACCAATTGGAAAGATGAGACACATGAAAGAACAATAGCCTTAGAAATTACCATAATAACAGCAACTTGTCTCTTAAAGGAGCATGATTTATAGATCTAGCGAATGTTCTACTTTGATTTTTCATGGAAACTTTAGTAGATCATAAACGATCCTATAATTTGGATGACAAGACATTAAACATGGAAGGGAAAAAGAAACTTTCATAACCGATCCCACAATTTTCTAAAGGCATACAAAGTGGAGATGATTAATTTTGTATGACAGACAAGGGATAGACATGTACATACCTCGAGAAGGAAACGATGGTGGACTCACTACCTCAGAGCATCCATGCACACTGACAGAACGGGCCATGCAAGGCTCTGTCCGAACAGCAAACCCTCCATAGTGGCTACGAGAATGATTTGCCAAACCATTCACTGAAATTACACCCGCTGAAAAAGGAGAGCCAGCCAAGAAATTCCCTGTATTGCCTCCATCAAATATGTACATCGAAGGCAAGCACGAAGAATTGTAAGCGGCATTCCCCGGAGGACCAAGTGGACCACTCTTTGATTTTGGTCTTCTTTGGGGAGGCACGATGGATTGTCTCACACCATTATCCCCCGAACCAGGACTCAAAATCCATCTCTCAGCATCTTCCCACTTTGAAGGCAAAGTTCTTCCTTTGTTAGAACACAACACCCCAGCAGCACTTCCCTGCCTTTTTATACCATTGTTATGCAATGGCACACGTTCAGAATTCCAACCCTTCTGCATGCCAGCACTCGAGTGATGATGATAACTGGGAGTCGCCGGACTAGGAAAGGCACTCGATTTCCGTGTTGCAACAGAGCTTTTCTTCACAGTCCCCCACCGTGGGGACGAACACGAGACAATATTTAGATCTAGTGAAGTGGGTCCTAGCCTCTCAGGAAGCTTCAACAAAGCTTCAGACCTAGCCATTCTATCCTTACAATCTATATAAAAGCAATTTGACAGAAAAATGAAGTTAAAAGTATTTGTTCTGAAAGAACAATTTAAAAGAGAAACTACAGGGCACCTTTAAGAGCAAGAGAGAATGAGTTTCTTGCTGAGTCTATGAGTTGGTTTTCGTCCTTCTCGTGAGCTGCGTCGTTGTCTTCCTTTTGAACTGCGTATTATTTTTACAAGGGAAAAGGTAAGAAGAGAGTGAGTGAAATTGAAATCTATTTTGTGCTCATTCGTTTGCTTTCAATTTCAACTTTTTGAAAGAAAAATAAAAATAAAGAAGCTAATGATGAAGCAAAATAATGCGTGCACCTTTCACTCTCTTTTTCTGGAGAAACAACTGTGATTGTGGACTGTGATAGCTTTGTTTGTATCTGGATCTGGTCCACTACAACTCTCATTTTGATATCCTCTTCCATGTCCTGACAAATGCTGCAAACAGAAAACATATTTCAAACACTATTTCTCTTTTCCTTCTTTTACCCCTCAAGAAAAAAAAATGAAGAAAAGAGTCGGATCAGATAATAAATAAACGAAAGGAAACAGACTGCAGAATGATGGATCATGATATAGATAATACTTTATGCATTGAACCGAGAAACTGAAATGAACAAGAGAAAGGAAGTTGGAAGATTGAAAAAGTTACACAAGAGAGTTTGGAAGCGAGAAGATGGTGGTCGTGAGAAGTGGCTAAACTTGGATTCTCGACTGAATATGATGTAGGTTGAATCAACACGTTTTGATGGAAGTGAGTAGATAATTTTATTATGTCCTGATCTAAGATTGACAAATATTGATGTTCTTGAATAATAAGTTTGGGCTTCAATAAAAATAAGAAAGAAATAATATTAATGATGGACTTAAGAAATAGATAATAATAAACATAATGGAAATGGAAATAGAAAGAAATGAAAGAGATGGCTGCGGAATTAAAAGGATGATGATGGTCTTGATGGATGATGTTGATGGTGTTGATGTTGAAATGGAGATGATGGTGATGTTGTATCTCAAGCACGCCAAAGAGGAAACTATGCTAGAAAACACAATCCTGATCTTCACAAACTTACTTGAGGGGTGGTGATAGTGTCTTCAACCCACTAAATATAAATCTAGGAATTTAGGAATCAAGATGGAAGGTATGGCGCCACAAATATATGAATTATACTTGTTTAATCGATAAAGTTCACAAAGACCTTTGAAGAGAAATTAACTCACAAGAGTTGTTTAATTTATGAGATGAAATTATTACAAACGAAGGCAAGCCTCTCAATTTATAAGAAATGAGAGGGCATGGCCGAATAGTCTCCTAATGATTCGGCTAGATACATGACTTTAGGAAAGTACATAATGCTTCAAAATGAAAGGAGAAGTCCCTTGGCTTGGTGATGGTTCAACTAACCCTTCATGAAGGGCCTTGATGTTTCGGCAAAGGGTGGGAAGACATCTCCCTTGGTCGAATGTGCATGTTGGTTCAACTTGGCGCCAAAGTCATCACCTTGGTCGAATGATGATGTGTCTCCTCATGCTTGGCGCCAAAGCTCTCATGTGCAAGGCATGTGGTGTGACCGAATAATCACGGAGCTTTGTATCATGTCCTTTGATGATTTAGGCCTCCAATAGGTGTGATCTATTCACCAACGTGCTCCTTGGTGAAAGGGTATCTTTATGGGCAGCATCATTCATAAAAGGTCACAATGTTCGGAAAGGTAACCTTTCATGTTTAAGCTAGTTCGGAGGTGAATGAGCTGGAGGTGAGCTGGCCATAGGTGAGTTGTAGCATAGTGAACATTATGGCAGCTCCTTGTGAAAAGGTACCTCTTGAGGTGGCAACTATTCGCAAAAAGGTACGATTTCACAAATTTTAACTTAGGACATATTTGAAGTGTCCTAAGTGGTGATGATGATGGTGCAGCTCCCCAGCTGAATTGAAGTCATCTTGTAGCTCAAATCTTCAGCTCAATCCAGCTATGAGCTCACGGGTCTCTGGATAACTTTTCACCAATGGTTCCTTATGCTCTCCTAAACATCCCCATGTAAGTTTCCTTGTTGTTGCATGCTCCATTTAGCTCTAATATAGCTCCCAAGTTATGGCCGAATGTACCTACACACATAACATAAAGAATTAAGTTAAGTATATGAACTTATGTAATGTATATAAAATAGAAATGTGTACTATAGTATATATATAATAATAACTTATATCTCACAAAGTAATGAATAAGTTATCATTATAATTATATATGTAATATATGTATATGAATATAACTATGTTATAGGCATTATTATATGTAAAGATAGAAAGTTTCTTCCCTTGAAAGGTTGGAATAGCCAATTTAAACATGATGATGAATTGGATCACATCATCCTCCCTTTCTTTTAATCGATTTGTCCTCAAATCAAAAGGTTTTCTTTTCCTAAAGTCCTTCCATCCATTAGATTCAACAAGTACCTTTATGAAAAGGTTCATGTTCCTTGAATGAATGCTTAAAAATTCCATGGTCTGAAAAGAAAGAAAACTTTCATAAGAAAAATTGTGATCAAACATAATTAAAGTTAAGAAATACTTCATGTTAAATGTATGTTCAAAGTTCATGTCTATTGAAGACATTTTGCTTTGAACGTTTGTGTCCTTTTGCATTCCAAAAATCATGTCCCTTGGTTCTTCAATAGATGTATGCTTTGAATCATGAAAGGTGGTGACTCTTGGAATGATGATGTCCTTATAGTCCTCATAAGTCACGTCTTTTGGATGAAGAATCGTCTCCTTTTGCTTTTCATTAGTCGCACCTCTTGGCTCTTGAAAGGTCACGTCCTTTAATCTCCCAAATTGATAAGTTGTGTTGTTTGGAACATCCTGTAAGTCAAAGGAAATTTATGCATTTTCAAGGTTAGAAAAATCTTCATCAACCTTACGTCTTGACAATAAACATTTTTGTAACAAGCACTTAGATGTATAAGCACTTGTTTTTGGACTAGTTTCCTCCTTACTTGACTTCGATTTCCTTTTCTCATTGCCTCAACACTTTGTTTCATCTTGATTTGATCAATTTGGAATTGCTTAGGCATCAAAGATGTAAGGATAATCTTCTTCCCTCCATGTTTGAACGAATATTGATTGGTAAAACAATCATGGATGGTCCTCTTATCATATTGCCATGGTCTTCTAAGGAGTAAATGACTAGCATGCATAGGAACAACATTGCACATAACCTCATGCTTGTACTTTCCAATTGAAAAATGAACCATCACATGTTTATTGACGTTAAGTTCTCCTCGTTCATTGAGCTATTGTAGTTTGTAGGGATTTGGATACTTCAACGTTTTCAATCTTAATTTCTCCACCTTGATTGTACTTGCCACATTGGTACAACTTCCACCGTCTATGACATAAAACACACCTTTTCATTCACATGGCATCGGGTATGAAAGATATTTTCACGTTGTGCATTATCTTCTACCACTTGGGTACTCAGGCTTCTTTTAACCACTAAAGCTTCGCCTTCTATGGGAGCCCCAATTTTTGCTTCTTCCTCGACTTCAGTGGGTGCTACTTCTTCTTCTTCATGGTCAGACTCAATGTCACCATTTCCAAGTAGTAACATGGTGTTTCGGTTAGGACATTGTGTAGAAACATGCCCCCTCCCAAGACATTTAAAGCACCGAATATCTCTTGATCGTTCAGGGGTCTCTATTCCTCGGTTATCCTTATTAAGTTGTGGAGCACTGGATGATTCGACTTTCTCTTTGGTAGGAGTAGAGGTAGATTTCTTCAAGTTGTTTGGACTCAATCTTAAAGGTGTAGGCATGGTAGTACGTGATATAGATCTTCTCCGTAGTTGCCTTCCTATTTTCATAGCCATTTGCACCATTTCATCAACCTCTATGTAATGGTATAACTCCAAAGTATTGGCAATTTCTGGATTGAGTCCAGCAAGAAATCTAGCCATAGTTGCTTCACGATCCTCCTCAATATTAACTCAGATCATTGCTACTTCTATCGCCTTATAGTAATCCTCCATACTTCGTTGGCCTTGTTTGAGGTTCTACAGTTTATGAAACAAGTCACGGTGATAATGAACAGGAATGAAACGTTTACGCATGATACCTTCCATTTTCAGCCACGTTGAGATTGGTCTTTCTCCATTCCTCCTTCTGGTAATAGTAAGTTGATCTCACCATATCAAAGCATAATCAACAAACTCCATGGCTGCCAATCTCATTTTCTTTAGTTCAGAATAGTTGTGGCAACTAAAAACATGTTTCACCTTACTTTCCCATTCAAGATAGGTTTCAGGATTAGTTTTCCCTTGAAATTGAGGAATCTTGATTTTTATGTTGCTCATGTTATCATCAACATTGGCACGCCTAGGTCCTTGTAACATTATTGATTCTTCTTCATCATAATGGTCTATGACATCATTTTCTGGAAGAGGTTGTTGCCTCCGAGGAGTACATTGTTCCGAGCGTGGGATTGATCTTGTCTTTGGTCTATGTTATCATGAAGAGCATCAAACTCTGCACGAAACATTCTTATCATTTCTCCAATCAAAGCTTGCATTTGCAAGTTTGGTTGACCTACATTTTCTTTAGGACTTTGAAACATGGTTAGTAAACAAAATAAAATTAAATTAAACCTTACCAGCACACTCACAAAGCCTCTCAAGTTCACTCCAAAGAAATGATAGGATCACTCCACTCAACACTCGTGTTTACTCTTGGGAATATATATTGGCTCTTAACAATTCCCCTTCTGATCTCACTCTCTCAATTAGCCTTTTTCCACTCAATTTCTCTTGCTAAGTCCTTTGAAGAACTTACTCAAGATTAGAACAAGTTAATTCTCTACTTGTGTGCGAAGGCTGCAAATAGGTTAGGGTAGAAAGAAATAGAAGAAATGGGAAGGTAGAAGAAATGATTCAAGGCATTTAAAAGAAGGAAAAGGTTGAAGACAAGGAAAATGAAAGTATAGAAAAGAAAGAGGTGACTTACAATTCAAGAAACAACACTTACTGCAACCTTTCTCAAGAAATAATAAGGTTATCTTCTCTTAGTGTAAATATGCCTCTTTGATGTACTTGCAATAGTAGAGCACTTTCCTTGGCTTTGCTTCTCTTTTTTAAATTCTTTTCTTCTTGTTTTTCTGATTTTTTTCTTGTTTTTATCTTTGAACTCCTTTTATTGTTGTAGGAGTCTTTTTTTTTATTTTTTTTGATTTTTTTTTGCTTTGCACGCCAATGACACTTTTGTTGTCAATCCAACTATGCTCTGAATACCGCTTGATGTAGGCTGAATATACACGCTTTGATGAAAGTGAGTATATAGCCTTATTGTGTCCCGATCTAGGATTGACAAGTACTGATGTCCTTGAATTATAAGTTTGGACTGCAATAAAAATAAAAAAGAAATAATATTAATGATAGACTTAAGAAATAGATAATAATAAAATAATGGAAATAGAAAAAAATGAAAGAGATGGTTCCGAAATTAAAAGGATGATGATGGTCTTGATGGACGAAGTTGATGGTATTGATGTTGAAATGGAGATGGCAGTGATGTTGTATCTCAAGCACACCAAAGAGGAAACTATGCTAGAAAGCACAATCCCGATATTCACAAACTTACTTGAGGGGTGGTGATAGTGTCTTCAACCCACTAGATATAAATCTAGGAATTTAGGAATCAAGATGGAAGATATGACGCCACAAGTATATGAATTATACTTGCTTAATCGATAAAGCTCACAAAGAACTTTGAAGAGAAATTAACTCACAAGAGTTTGTTTAATATATGAGATGAGATGATTACAAAAGAAGGCAAGCCTCTGAATTTATAAGAAATGAGAGGGCTTAACCGAATAGTCTCCTAATGATTCGGCTAGATACATGACTTTAGGAAAGTACATAATGCTTCAAAATGAAAGAATAAGTCCCTTGGCTTGGTGATGGTTCCACTAACCCTTCATGAAGGGCCTTGATGTTTCGGCAAAGGGTGGGGAGACATCTCCCTTGGCCGAATGTGCATGTTGGTTCAACTTGGCGCCAAAGTCATCTCCTTGGCCGAATGATGATGTGTCTCCTCATGCTTGGCGCCAAAGCTCTCATGTGCAAGGCATGTGGTGTGGCCGAATAGTCATGGAGCTTTGTATTATGTCCTTTGATAATTTAGGCCTCCAATGGGTGTGATATCTTTACCAACGTGCTCTTTGGTGAAAGGGCATCTTTATGGGCAACATCATTCATGAAAGGTCACAATTTTTGGACATATTTTGACTTGGGATATATTTGAAGTGTCCTAAGTGGTGATGATGATGGTGCAGCTCCCCAGCTGAATTGAAGTCATCTTGTAGCTCAAATCTTCAGCTCAATCCAGCTATGAGCTCATGGGTCTCCGGACAACTTTTCACCAATGGTTCATTATGCTCTCCTAAACATCCCCATGTAAGTTTCCTTGTTGTTGCATGCTCCATTTAGCTTCAATATAACTCCTAAGTTGTGGCCGAATGTACCTACACACATAACATAAAGAATTTAGTTAAGTATATGATCTTATATAATGTATATAAGATAGAAATGTGTATTATAGTATATATATAATAATAACTTATATCTCACAAAGTAATGAATAAGTTATCATTATAACTATATATGTAATATATGTATATGAATATAATTATGTTATAGGCATTATTATATGTAAAGATAGAAAGTTTCTTCTCTTGAAAGGTTGGAATAGTCAATTTAAACACGATGATGAATTGGATCACATCAGAATATAAGAGACTCAACGCTGCCATCTCCACCTGCGTAACTTGATCTAACTGACCTTTTCCCCCTGCCTCCTCCATTTTTCTTTGATTCTTCTTCTGCTTCAACCACGTCCATTTTTTAGTTTGCATAGCCTGATTCTGCATTATTTATTTATTTATAGTATATAAATGATTATTAAATTGAATTAAATTAAATTTATTATTATTTTATACCGCAATATGATATTTTTATAATAATTTATAAATTTAATAATTATCAACATTTTAACAATCAATAAATTTATTTTAGTATAATTTAGTGATTATATATTTTATCTTTTATTTATTTTTCTTATGGGGTGTTGTCGTTATATATATGGCGTGTTTTGGACACGGAGTTCACGGCGAAGGCCTTTTCAAAATGCGTTTTTAGTTGTTTCATGACTGAAAAGCCCTTGGATATGAGATTGTTTAGGTATAGCTGAGAGGGTAATAAGGACTTTGAACTATTTTATGGATAATGTGAATAAACGGTAGCGTTAGAGTAGAAAATGGAAACTCGGATCCAATCTAGTATTAAAGATTTGACGAAATATAAAACTGAGTGACCCACTCCTATTCAAACCTCACATGTTATTAAAATAATATTACAATATTTTTTTATTAAACTAATGTGATTATAAATTAATATATGTTCTAAATACTCTTGATAATTTGATAATGAACATTCGATAACTCTGTTTAAACTCGAGAACTTTAAGAATAACAACCATTCTTTTAACTACTTAGGTAATTTAGTTCGTATTAATGCTTTTTTTATTTGAATTGAAAGGGAAACAACAGTAAAAAAAATATTGTGATAGGTATAACTTCGATAGTAAAAGATTTTAAAAAATTTAGATTTAAATAAATACATATGTAAAAAATATATGTTGGGAATAGATTAAAAAATTCTAAAATAAAAATTATTGTGATAGCAAATTCATTGTGTTGTGGACGGCAAGGAGATATGGGCAGTGATGAAATGAAATCATTTTGGGGCCACCCTACCCAACAAAAGTGGGGCTATCTGAATTTCTTCATTACATATAAAATCTTACTTCTCACCTTGTACGGGGATGCCAATGCGGCTATTTCAGCACTCAATGCGCTGTCTGTCTTCAGGGTACTGTCTTCATTTATTGTTTTTGGGTTCGTATGACGAAGCTTCCTGGTTAACTTATTCTTCATTTTTATGTAGAATAGTAAGGCTTATTTAAGGGTAAATTACATCACATGTCACTATATTATTAATAAATATATAATTTGATTATCATTTAAAAATAAAATTAGATTATACTTGTCGACACCGTTTTTAGTCCGGGCGAGGAAAAACTTAATACGACTTGGGGATTTTCTTTGAAAATGTTTTGAAATATTTTGGAGTCGTCATCGATCTTTTGAGTTAGGTAGGTCGAATACCTAAAAATTTTCTTTTAAAAGAGTTTTTAAGAAAACATCATTTTAAAAGATAAACCAGTCTGCGTGTAACCAGAAATTCTTTTAGTAAAAAGGATAATGGGGTCGATTACGTGTGGAGAATGATAAACATCCCCACAACGCCTCAAATTGGTACCCATCGATTATAAATTGTCTCTAATAGTAGAAATCTAAGAACTCAAATATAAATATAAATTACGATTCCATTATTCTGCATTCAACCATGCAATATTATTGAATGAAAATTTCTAAGGATAAATAGAAAATATTCACATATTGAAGAGAAAATACTCCTTAAAATACTTTAGGACAAATATTTATCTTTCCAACTGAAATAAAAAGAATATAATAATTTTCCCTAAGAATTCAATATAAAAATAATTTTTTATTACTCTCAAAATTAGTACCTATCGATTATAAATTGTCTCTAATAGTAGAAATCTAAGAACTCAAATATAAATATAAATTACGATTTCATTATTCCACATTCAACCATGCAATATTATTGAATGAAAAATTCTAAGGAGAAATAGAAATTATTCACATATTGAAGAGAAAATACTCCCTAAAATATTTTAGGATAAATATTTCTCTTTCCAACTGAAATAAAAGGAATATAATAATTTTTCCTAAGAATTCAATATAAAAATAATTTTTTATTCTACCAAAGAAAGAAATTAAGCCAATTTATTTGAATTATACTATTAGAAAAGATAAGAGATATTCAATTATTTAAAAATATCGAAATTTAATCCCTAATAAAATTAGGCGAATTATCTCGATAAGTTTAAATAAGTGAATATTTCCTTTTCCCTTCAAAATTAATTAATTTTAATGCAATCAAAATTTTTAGGTTTTTCTAGTGGGATATTTATTTATTTTAAGACATCGAAAAAGGACATATAGTTACTTTAAGACCGTCCCTTCTTAATATTTTAAAATAAATAAATACTACCCTTAACACAATTATTTAATCGGTTGAGTTATGCTTATGAGGCTTTTAGGCGAAATAAAATGTCATGATTAAATATGAATGCCTAAATAAAATGTAATTAAATTAAAATGGTAAATTAAAACATTTAAAGAAGAAAGAAATATATATATATAATATACATATGGACTAAAAACAATTGAAGGTATTTTAATTTTATTTTACTTAATAAAATCTATACATATATTTTTTTCATGATATTTAGCATAGAACATAACATTTATTATAAATGTACTAAGAGGTAAAATATAACATTTAGACAATATATTACATGTAGTATTATATAAATATATACTAAAGTAATATATATAATAATATACGTAAAATAAACACATAGTAATATACATAAAATAAATACATAAAACATAAAACATACTTAATGGTACAATAAAACAATATACATTTGGATTCATTTATAACATGGTGACAAAATAAATATAAAATAATGTTAAGATCATAAACATTAATAAAACAATTATCATGACATGAAACAAGAAACTCATATAGTAGGAGCACCAGAATCGTAATAACGCCATAAATATATAGGACTAAAATGAAAGAACATAAATTTCAGTAGCCAATCTAAAAAATAAATATATACAACAAAGGACTAAATTAAAATAATACAAACTCACGCATCTAATTTGCAAATCATATAAAATAAAAGGAAATGGTGACCAAAGCACAAAACACGTTAAACTTGAAGGGACCTAAGGCGAATTTGACCCAAAAATGCCAAAAATGCTACTTATACTAAAGACAAGGACCCAAACCATGATTTAACCTTAAATGAGTAACCAGAATGACATGGAATTCCAAAACTAAGGGGGCCTATACGTAATAAACCCATTATTTAGTGACTGAGACACAAAACACGCTAAAGGTTCAAGGACCTTAGCGTGATTTACCCAAAAAACAAGATAAGAATCTATCTCCCCTTTTTCAAATACATTCTGCCCGATATTTACCCCAGCTCCACTCTTCTCATCTCTCTTTCTCCTTTGCACGCAACAACCACGACGACCGAATCTTTAGTGGACCGAAGTCATCGACGTCTCGATCACCCAATATGGGTGGTCATACTACTCCGACCGAGACCTAAACGGTGTTAGAAACATAGGAAATGAAAAATATCGTTCCCTACGATGTTTCCATCCTCGGGCGAGAACCCAGCACCGGATCACCACGCGGTTGCTCTCTGACCTCCACTCCACACCAACAACAATGCTACCCTGACGATCACTCTGACAGTAAGATATTTCTAACCCCTATCTCTATTTTTAAAAAGCTTCAAACTAGTATAAATAAAGAATCGAAATAAAAAAAATTCTATTCTTTAGTTACATTCTAAGGATTAAACAAATAAACTTAGAATGGAAAAAATACCTTTGAGAATTTCAGTTCAGTTTTGCTTTTTTTTATTGCTGGAAATTTGTTCTGTATTTTTATTGCTCCGTCCTCATTTACATTTATTTCGGGTTATATATTCCCTTATAGAAAAGTAATCCCCTGCCCCTAAGCAAATATATTTGATTGCTATATCTAGCAATTCGGTGGTGCCAGAGTACAGCCACTGACATGGTGGTTGTTAGGGAAATGACACATCCTAGACTGGAGAAAAGTTTGGTAGCCATTGCTTGTGGCAGGGAGGTAAGGCACGAGGATGGCTGTTGTAGGAAACGGATCTGGATCGGGTCAGATCCTGGGTCGGGTCGAACACTGGGCTAGAAATGGGTCACCCCAATGGGTTAAAAAATGGTGCTTACAACTGCCCCTCTTTGCTCATTACTGTAAAATGGGAATGAAGCAAATATAAAAAAGCATCATTTTTTATCTTGTTATCTTCTTGTCACGTTGCAAACTCTTCACTAGAAATGTCAATTCTTCTCTTTTTATGAAATTCGTCGAGTCTTTGATGTAAACGATGTCATCTTTGCTTCGTTCTCTTGGTTGAGTCTTCATCTTCAGTTTTTCTAGTTATGGTTTCTTCTTATCATAATCTTTCCATTAGAAATGTCAATCCCTCGAGTGATGCGTTGATGTTTCGAAGTATTGGGAAAAAGGTTAAACAAGCTCTTCATTATGAATTTTCTACTGGCAATGTTGGTCCCTCGAGTGAGGTGTTGCTGATTCAACTCCATATGTGATGAATCGAGTACCAAAAATGTTAAAAACACCCTGCCTGAAGGTCTTATGGATGACCCGAATGACTTATCATCTTGATCGAAAGACTTATAGATGGCCCGAAGGACTTACACATCATGTTCCAAAGACTTACTGATGGCCCGAATGACTTAGGCTGATTCGAAGTGTGTGAATCGAGCAATAGGAAATGTTAACCCCTCTGGTAGGGCGTTGCTGATTCGAAGTGTTGTAAATCGAGAAAAGGAAATGTTGAAAACATCCTCCCCGAAGGTCTTATAGATGGCCCGAAGGACTTAAACTGATTCGAAGTGTTGTGAATCGAACAAATGAAATGTTGAAAACATCCGGCCCGAATGTCTTATGGATGGCCCAAAGGACTTATCATCTTGCTCGAAAGACTTATAGATGACTTGAAGGATTTAAACATCATGCTCGAAAGACTTACTGATGGCCCGAAGGACTTACTCATCAAGAAACCCTTGAAAATCAAGCTTAGTTTCTTAGTTGTCAATGAACCCCTAAAATTAGGCTTAGTTTCCTTTTAAAAACTCATTGAAAATCATCATCAAGAAACTCCTGAAAATCAGGCTTAGTTTCTAAAAACTATCAAAAAAATCCATAAAATTAGGCTTAATTTCTTTAAAATTTATTTTAACACATTAAGAAACCCCTAAAATTAAGCTTAACTTCTTTCAAATTCATTTGAAAACATCGATAAACCCTTGAAAATTAGGCTTAGTTTTTTTCAAATTCATTTTAAAACATCAAGTGAAATCCTTAAAAATTAGGCTTAGCTTATTTCAAATTCATTTTGTCAAGAAATCTCTGAAAATCAGACTTAATTTCTTTGAAAGCTCATTTAAAAATAATCAAGAAACTTCTGAAAATCGAACTTAGTTTCTTTAAAAAAAATTAAATCATCAGGAAACTTCTGAAAAACAAACTTAATTTCTTTGAAAGCTCATTTAAAAATCGTCAAGAAACTTCTGAAAATCAGACTTAGTTCCTAATAACACATTATCTGGGTAATATGCCCCACTTCTAAAATGATCATTGTTATGTGTATTGAGTTCCTCAATTCTTGAGGTTCTACCACTATTAATGTAATTCACTCCATTTGAGGCTTGAATTCTGATTTTTTTCTTTATTTTTTCTTATTTTCTTTAAAAATATGTAAGAATTATGTATGTATGTATGAATGAACTTAAATGAATCTAAATGTAATGTACATTTTTGTATGCAGAAATGTTAATTAGTAACCCTCTTTTAACTTTCAAATAGAGATTTCAGTCTTCGTTCACTTGATCATTCTTATATGGACTCTGCCCCTAATATCAGTATGGTCAGACTAATCATATGGAACAATCATGTCTCTCCCATATGTTATCTTTTGTCTTGTTTCTTCAACATGATTGTAGAAGAAATGTTTCATCCCTTGAATCCTCATTGCGATCAGGTAGATGAATGGTCCCCTTACACGTCTTTGACTCGATTTTCAATCAAAATTGTTTCTCAAGAGTCCTTGGCTAATTGCAGTGTGAATGGTTCAACTCAAGGTGAGCTCTTTTTATGTTCATCTTTTGACCCTGGCACTCCAAGCGACGAGGGTCATTCA